CCATGAAAAAAATAAGTAAATAAAATGGAAACTTTTTCAAGAATTATTTGAGTGCTCACTATGTGCCAAGCATGCTTCTAGAGTCTCTCGAAAATACCTTGGTGTATTCAGTAATTAAACAGGCAAAACCTATAATATCATAAAGCCTACCCTCTAGTTAATTGACAGCATGGTAATGAGTAAATAATCTTGTGTTTTAAAAGATAATAAGCACTAAAGAATAAAAAGGAAAAGTGGCGTGCATAAGGAGGATCAGATGGGAGGCGGATAAGTTGCAGTCCTTATTAGGCCAGTCCGGGTCAGCCTCCGTGCCCCACTGTCATCAGGTGGTTTCCACTCCCAGAGTGGAGCTGCCCGGGCAGGGGTCCCAGACTATACATCTTTAAAGAAACAGGCAGTCTCACCCTCCTTGTGACCTTGCAGTCATCAACGGCAGGCGTAACCCCACTTGGCTACCACAGCTCTGTAGGCCTCATGGAGAAGCTGAGCTCTGTGGATATCTGGGTAAAGAGAACAGTCAAGCCAAAAAATATCCGAAGATTTTGCTGGCTAAACAGGTGTGTTTAAGAACAGCAGGGAAGCCAATGTGATTGAAGCAGGGTTAGCAAGAGAGAAAGTTGTGGGAGGTGAGTTCGGAGAAGGACTGTAGAGTCAGGTGATGTAGGGACTTGGAGAAACTGGCATGCCATTGCTCAAATAAGATTTGGGGCAGCAACGTGGCGTGTTCCCACTTAAATTTTAAAGAGAATGTATTATTAATTATTGCTATTATTAATTATTAAATACTTTAACATTTAATCACCCAATGCATTGCATAATCTTAGCCATATACATGAATCTCAATTATCCCTGCAAAAATCCCAAACTAAAGCTATCAAATATGTATTGCTATCACATGAATTCACACACAGTGATTGCATGTGTTATTGAGATGAACTGTTCAATGGGGTTTTCTTGTTATGACCTGGAGAGAAGCAGACTGCCAGGCCTTTCTGCTGCATGCCACTGGAGAGGTTCAAGGGCTCACCTGTATTTTGGTAGTCCAGAGCAAATTGTGTGCAGCAGCCAGTCACCGTTATTTACCACCCACTTCTACCAAAAAGGTGCTGTTGGTCTTAGTTTCCCAAAGACAATATCAAGGTTCAGAAGCCCTATCCACGTAGCTTGTCTTGGTTAAGAGAATGCACAAACCCAATGGTCATCAACTTTATACCAACTCATGGCAACTCTGGGCATGTCAGAGTAGAATGGTGCCCCCTAGAGTATTCTATGTGATTTTTCAGACGTAGATTGCCAGGCCTTTCTTCTCGGGTTCCTCTAGGTGGTTTGTAATCTTCCATTTTTTTATTGGTACCTTAGCACATTAGCCATTTGCACCATTCAAGAGTAGGGTTAGATGTGTTGTTGGAGCCAATTCCTACCCATAACAACCCTACGCCCAACAGAACCCAACGTTGCACGGGCCTCGCCACCCTCCCAAGTGTTCCTATGGCTGAGCCATTGTTGCAGCCAGTGTGTCGATCCATCTCATTGAGGACAAGATACATTAAGGAGTAACCCAAAATCAAGCTCATTGCCATCGTGAAAGCCAGGAAAAAATGGACATATTTTTCCTAACACCTAATCAACAACTCATCTTTCCTAAATACTCGTTTATTTTAAATTAATAAAGAAATAGTTATTCATTGAGATGATGAACATAAATCAATCAATAGAGATGTCCAGTTTGATATATTGGATTGAATCATTTGCTTTGTCTTGTAGATTTCATGAATGTAATTATCGAGGTATGGTTCCTCAACTTTCCCTTTGAAATGCCATGTAAAATAAAAACTAATTTGGGATGCAGAAATAATAATAATAGTTCACATATGTAATGATGTATTTGATGGTTTGGGGAAGCCTTTTATTTAGTCACAGTTTTTAACTTTACTACATGCTAGTCACATTGCTAAATTATGTGCATATATCATCACAGTTAATAGTCATCAAACTAAGATAGTAACTCAGCACTATCTAGGACAAATGTAGTCCCAAAGATACTAGATATCAAAAAGTCTTGTAACTGTTAAGTTAGTACCAGAGCAGGGATTTTGCCTAAATCTCCACAACCTAAAGGTAAATTCCCATCATTAAGCCATACTGCCTCTCTGCAGCATGCCACCCCAACAGCAAACTGTCAGCCAAGTATAAGTGGCCCTTTTTACATATGATTAACTCATCCTAGAAAAGTTAATCAAGAAATCAACTTTTGGGAGGGGGGAGGGGGAGCACACGATATGCAAATCAATACTGAGTTACTAGGAGAACAAAGGATTTATGGTACACTGTAGCCTCAAAGAGTTTACAATCATGTTGCAGTAAAAAGAGACTCATCAAAATGGCAAAAAATGGATGAGGGGCGATGGAGGATGATGTAAGATATGGGAAAATAATCTATAACTTACCAAGTGTTCATGAGGGAGGGCGGGTGGGGGAAGGAGGGGGAAGAAATGGAGAGCTGATATCAGGGACTCAAGTGGGAAGAGAATGCTTTGAAAATGATGATGGCGGCATATGTGCACATGTTCTAGACACATTGGAGGCATGTATGGATTGTGATGAGATGTAAGAACCCCCAATAAAAGTATTTAAAAACAAACAGGCAAACAAAAATGGTAATAAATACTACAACACACCACACAATAAGTATCAAATGAGACAGAGCCAACGAGTGCTAACGATATTCATCAGAGAGATAAACCAGTAGTGCTTCAATTTCATCAGAAAAATATTCTCACTTAAAAGGACTGATGCTGATGGGAAAGGTAGACTTTATGAAAAGAAGAAGTCAAGATCTGAATGAATTATGAAGAGGAAACAAATAGATGAATTAGAGCTGACTTATAGACAGATCACAGATTAAACCTTGTTTATTTATAGAGTAGAAATCCAGAACTGCTAGCATAGGACACTTGCTCTGAACATGAAATTCTTGTTTCTTTCATTCTCTCAGCAACCCCATAAGGTAGTAAAGTAGGTGTAGTATGGCCACAAAAGAAACGCACAAACGCAGCCTGGTATGTGTAGATGGAACAGAAACGCCAACGTATTGGCCTCTAAATGATGTGTGCCTTCTACTACCCCTTTGCCACCATCTGCCAAAGGCAACGGGGAAAGAGCCACCATGATTACATGACCAAGAGAAGACAGGGTCCCTTGAAAAATAGCATGATATTCAAAGAAGATTAATCTGACTGTGAGATATTCAACCTTAATATATCCAGTAATTTGAGGATTAGAGAAGAAAAAAGGGCACTCTGTCTAAAGATTAACCCAAATAAACAAGATAATGAGGACCTTATATGAGTGCTGACAAGCGGAAATAAAAGGAGAAAAACAATATTACATAAGAAGTACAGGATATTAATAAGAATACCTAGGTCCTTCCCAATATGTAACCATATAAACAGAGTATAAATATTCATCTTAAAACGTTAAAGAGATAAAAATCTTCAAGCTCAAATATTTTAAGAGTTTTGGACCACATATTATTTATTTTAAAATAACAAGAGCTATGGCTTAGGGAAAGATTTGCTTTAGTTCAGTCTACCTCTGAAGCTAACCATCATAAATTATAGCAAACTTATACTTGACACACTTAACACAAGTTTGGCATTAGCTTATTGCCACATATTCTAACATGGAAGATAATTCCTTACACCCAAGCCTCTTTAGCATATTAATTACTAAGGGGATATTCTTTTTTGTTTTACTTTTATAACTATATATGCTTTGATGAAATGTGTCATATTTGTAAACGTTATTCCTCTGTAAGGCTTTTCTCTTAAAATTCTAAGTACCAATTTGCCACCCAGGGATTAAAATAAAAAACTAATAGTTATTAAATGGAATGTTATTAAACAACAATTTGGATTTCATCAAAGTATTTTGACCCCTGGTTATTTCCAACCATGTAATGGCAGAGAAATAAACAGAATTAAAATCTAGCTATATTTTTCAAATAAAAATTTTACAACATCCAAGCATTTAGTAAATTTAACTCTTTCAAATAACTGAATAATGCAAAGTTTCCAATCTGGAAATGACCAGGTTAACAACATACACCTTTGGTTAACATCAAATTTTCAACAAATTCGCCTTAATTTTTGATTAACTGTTAAACTTAAAACTAATAAATGTGATAGCTGAATGCATGAATCTATGTGTGTCTGTATATGTATCATATTAGAACTGATGAGTAATATTTTGACTGCGAATCTTTTTAGGATTTGACACTTATGCTTATATCTTAGCTACTTGAACTTCTTACTACCACCTAGCTACAATGAAAGGTAATTAAAACTTAATCTATTTGTCAAGACTAATTCCCATTACCTTTATAAACATAGGTTTGCTTTTCTGTGTTGAAAACAAATGTTTTCCAATGAAACTGTGCCATAACCCAATACATTTAGACCCACAGCGATGTGTAGTCGCTTTGAAATATTAAAGGATATCAAATAGAAATATTATATATTACAAATAATTATTATCACATTATAATCCTAACAAACATATTGGTTGAAATGCATCACAGATACTTTTCCTTTTCTATTCATTTTTTTAGTACATAAATTTCTGCATATCTACACTGGCATAAACACTGTCATCTGTAATATAGGGTGGAAGGAAACAGTGACACTAGAGTATCAAACCTGCTCAATCCTGTTAGATTTTAACATGCTCAAAGTTTGACAAACTTCAGACATTAAAATGATAAATTTCAAAACTACTGATTCAGGAAGTGTGGCCCATATGACTTCAGGCATGCTATAAAATATATGTTAAGTGCACTATGTGTAGAACTTAAATTATGCTTGTTTTATATTCCTTAATTTGTTATCTGATTTTTAAATACATACAAATGCATTCATACATCAAACATATTAAGGTGTGAACCTAATCTGAAATTTCGCAGGCACTATTTTGTGAGCTCCAAAGAGGCGAGAGTGTTTTACCTCCTAGCCCTGGTCGAAGCCGATTATCGTAACCATCCAGAAGTCTGTCTAGAATTCTTGTAAAGATGGTAATGTTATTTTTAGCTTCGTCTTCTTGGATGTTAGCCAGCACCAACCTAAACAGACAATTTTACAAACTGAAACAGATATATAAGTGTGTTTTGCAAGTGCCAACATGCCCATCTTCCTTCAATTTGATTTTAAGGTTCTCTAATCTGCTAGTGTCCCCCATTTTTTCTCCTGTCTCTGTAAATATCAGTGTATCTGTTGGAAAGGTAAACATGCTGTTGAAATGGATGCTAAATATTAGATGATCAGAAAGTTTGATGACAATAGCATTTAAGATTTCTACCACTTAGCATTCTGCATGCACTACTCATTTCTATGAGTCATTCCCCAGAATAGAAGATAATTGTAGATTATCACATGTAGATACAATTAGTAATGTTACTCTCCAGTTAGAAAGGTACAATAATCAAAGGGACTCATGAAATAATTCTTTAATGATTTGTATATTAACTGGAAAATAAATTGCCTACATGGATGTATATAATTCCTCTGTATTCCTCCTAATTGCCTTCATTTTCCTCTTAAACCAAGAATATTTCCTTACTTTGGATATACCTCCACCCAATGGCCAAGTGCATTATAGACATCAGGGAAACTCCATTGGCCTTAAGCCAAGCTTCACTGATGCTGCCAGGGAGGCAGGGAGACAGAGGTGGGCTCTGACTGGATCAGCAACACACACACAGCTGCAGCAGCCTTGCAGGGCAGTCAGTCCCTTCTGATTGATCTCCAAGGAGAGAGATCAGGGACTGCATAAAGATTAAAACGCTCAGCCATGTTTTATGTGATATATTTGTAGGAAGAACAACTGGTCTTAAATATCCACCAAAAAATGGTGACAAACAGTGATTATTCATCCTATGATTTCTCTTTCACAACGCCAGAGACCTGATTCCTGACATCCAGCAATCTGATATAGAGGATTGTGTGTAAAACAGAATATCCTCTTACACTGCCATCCTTTCCCACAAAAGTTCAGGGATAGAAATGATTACCCCCCAAAGACTCAATTATATAATATAATAAAATACTGAGTTTTAGCTCTGCTGGTTCAATATAGAACAGAAAACAAGTGGAAAGATATATGGGCAAGCACTGAGGATTTTCACTGATTATGGATGTATCATGACTTTTTCACATCTTTCAAGTTCAAAGATTATGTGTGACTGCAATTTGATCAAGGTGTATTATGTAAAAATGGATAGTCTGATTAAATTTACATAATTCCAGAACCAGTAGATAACACTACTCTTAATTCATCAATACACTAATAACCAACTCCAAACAAATCTTGCTCTTAGAGCAGAGAAACATTACAACATTGATATAAAGATAAAAATTGTGTGTTATGTATGTAAATTAGTTCATACCTTCTAGGCAGAGAAGCATCTATACTGCCTAATTAATCAAATTGTAAAAACTATCACTAGGGTTGTCATGAAGTTCAACACAGATTTTTCACTCAGAACTGGTTTTAAATTACATATCATATTTTCCTTATAAAAATTGTATTTTCTAATTTTAATAAAGTAGTTAAAGAAGTAGTTGTTTTCTAATTTTGATAAAATAAGGTTTATAAAGAGATTTCTTCTCAATTCTAGGAAATAGTGCTTCCATGTATTGGCAACAGTGCTTCCATGTATTGGCAATTACTTAGGCAAAGAAATGAAAACATTAAAAGCAAATAAAGGTCTAATAAAGTAAATAATTGGTTACACAGAAAGGGTTATGAAGCTAGTGTTTTAAGTTATGTTATTTTGAAAATAATTCCCTTAAGGCATGGAATAAGATCTGTCTATTTAAGGTATCAAGGTAAAAATAGAACTAGACAACAAACAAGATAAATATATCGAGGGAAATAAACATTAATCGCATATGTGTAGGAGCAGGGAAAGCAAAAAACGATGTTTTAAACAGTTAATTTTTATAATAGTGAGAATTTTAGGAATAAATGTATCTCATTAACATAAAAAGTTGAGTAATAAATGAAGTCTTTGTTTTAATGTTTGTGATTGTGAAGCTGTATACTACCTCCACCTAGAGGTTTAAGACTCACACACATTTGGGTTTTTTCTAGATTGGATAAGAGAACCAAGATTTAAAAAAAGGTTTGAGGCAAAAATGTAAAGTTAACACTCACATAATTTAAGCTTGTACTTTTCTGGTTGGCTTCAAGGAAAACTGTTTAACTTAACAACTTAAATTCCTCGTGAGAAGTATCCCACTCAAAGGAAATACTGTCCTTTCAGAGGAATTATTCAATTTTTTGGCTTGGTTTAATTTACAATCATGTTTCGCCTCCCTTTCCTACCTTATCATTGTGAACAAGTTGCAAAGAACTTTTTACAGGCTCTACTACATTGCATGTCAGGCTTCTGTTGCAACCCTGATCATTAGATCGAAATTCATCAAAATAACCCAGACTCCCAAAAGCCAGCACGAAGATGATGAAAGGCAAAAAACACACACTGACTCTGAATTAAAATCACCAAAAAGAATAAACATCTCACCTGGCTGGGTCCCCCACCAAGAGAGCCACAAGCAGCAATGGCACATTGTGAATGCTCCATTTCGTCTTCATTCCTGTGTTATTTTTTATTGGGTTTTTTTTTTCTTTTGTAAAACCTTGAAAGAAAAAGGAAAGATAGGTAAAATTACATCCAGTTCCCACTATTCCAGTAGCCCAAAGATTTTCAAAGGAGAAAATCTAGTTTTCAGAAGAGAACTAGAGTTAAAGCTATGGAGATTACACCAGAAAGTGAGGGTAGGGTGTAAGGATTGGAGGAAGGGATGAGTAAGTGTGTGTGTGTGTGCTTTCTTTTGGACAGCAAGATGACCAAGTATGCAGACTTTGCTCTGCCAGGAACTTCCTTTGACCCCATGACCAGCAAACACTGTTGTGTGCACACATACCACAACACTAAGGACCCTAAGTGGATAGAGGAGCTGGAACAGGAAGCCCGGTGTGGATAAGGAAGGGGGTGGGGAGAGTGGAAAGGGGGAGGAGAGATGCGTACCTAATGCTACAACCTTCTCCACTAAGACCACCCCCCACCCCACCCCGGCAACCACAGCCAAAAGGCGAAAAAAAAGCAAGAGGCAAGCAGCCCACTTTGTCAAGGATTCTTCTTTTCATTACAGTGTTCTGCAGCTCTCGCGTCTTCACTTCTTCACTGGTTCCGAAATCAAATCCAATCAAATGAGCCCCTTTCCTGCCCACCCACAGTGACCAAGACCCCGTCTGGTCTGGGAGCTAGCCCGGTTTGACAGCCGCCCCGAGCAGGGGACCGCAGACCGAGAAGGAGCGGGAGGCTAGCGGATCAAAGCCCGGGCGGCCAGGCGGGCAGCGGCAGCCGCGGCGTGCAAAGTTGGGCGCAATCAAAGAGCGAGGCTCCGGGGCTGCCAGCCGGGCGTCTGGGCTCCTATTGTAGTTGCAAATAGGCTGCTGGGGATGCGTGTGGACACGATGCTTTTGAATGGGCTCCTGAAGACCCGGGGGGCGGGAGGGCGACTTGACCCTCCCGGGTTTCCAGGAAGCTCCGGCGAGCGCGTGGGGTCGAGGGAGAGGAGCCCTGCACCAGGGGCGAAGACAAACAGAAATGGTCCCCGTGTTGGGACCCGCGCGCGCGCCCCTACCTGAAGCAGCGAGGCGATGTCGGTGGTTCTTCCTTTTGCCGTGATCTTGAGGAGATGGGAAACTTGCGAGAGGTGAGAGAGAATGAGAGAGATGAGAGAGAGGGAGAGAGGGAGAAAAGAGAGAGAGAGAGACTGCAGCTGCCGCCCCGGAGCTAGCGGGGAGC